CCTGCTGCCGCATCCGCGGCTCGCCCTCTGCCCCCGCCTCCGCCGCCTCCCCGCCGTGACAGGCCGAGGGCGCCTCAGCCCAAGCCCCCTGCGCGGCCACACCGTCCACCCAGCAAAGCCGCCGTTGCAACCCCCTCACGACCTCCGGCCCAGAAGTTCAAGGTCCGTGGCGGTAGTCGCTGGAACAAGCAAGCTCAACGCCAACGCAGGCGTTGACAGGCACCTGTGCCTTGTGCGCCACTTGCCTGCTGCAATTTTCTTGATACTTCCTCCTTTGCCAGGCCCCGCCGTCCTGGCTGGAGCTTTTGCCTGCCTCAAGTCCTGCCCTCAGGTTGCTTTTCTTGAAGGCTCCCTTTGCGGACGCTTTGCCAGGCCACGCCCGCTGGGCTGCATCCGCTGGCTGCTGCTTGTACCCGTGTGCACCCGCTCCCGTTTGCAGTGACGCCGTGCATTGTATCTTAGTGCATCCTACTAGGCTGCCTCTGCGGTCACTTTGCCAGGCCACGCCGGCTGGGCTGTGTCCGCTGCTTGCTTTCTGCACCCGTTTAATTTTGAAGCGACGCCGTGCATTGTATCCTAGTGCATCCTACTAGGCAGCCTCTCCGGACGCTTTGCAAGGCTAATCAGGCCGGGCTGCGTCCATAGGTTGCTGCTTGCAACCGCTCGCCTTTGAAGCGACGCGGTGCAGTGTATCTTCTAGTCAGTGTTTCCTACTCTTGCATTGGGGCTGTGCCCGCACCGTGCCCAAAGCAAAACAGTGCCGTGCCCGACCTTGCTTCAGTCATGTCTCGCCGCTCGCCTTCCCCGCCGCCCTTCACCGCCTCCCCCTTGACTGTCCCAGACAGCCCTTCCCCTCGTTCCCCCGATGGTGCCCGCACGCCGCTGGCACCTGTGCTTCCTGCGCCTGCAATTGAGCCAACGCCCGTCGAGTGCCCCACCGATGCGCCGCATTGCTGCCCTTCCCCGCCCTCTCCACCTCCTCGCGGCGAGGTTACACCGGAGTTCGCTGTGCCCCCCTTGGCTGCGTGTCCGGTCTGCCTGCAAGCCCCTGCCTCCCAACCCGAAGCCGAGGATGCGGTCTTCCTGTGTTGCGCTGCGTTCACGCATTTGTCCTGCCTCGTGCAGTGCGCACTGCGTCATGGCAGCTGCCCCAACTGCCGAGCTGCTGTCGACCACTTGCCACGGGAGCCTTCAATCGCCTCTCGATGCCGGCAATTGGGTATCGACCTAGAACCCACAGTACCTGGGGCGCATGACACGGCCGTCACCGCTGTCCGTGACTACTCCACCCGCACTTTCTCGCGAGCAGACGCCCCTGAACCGGCGGAGCCGCCCCACATCCGTGCTGTCTGCTGCCGTCGCCTCGCAGGACCCGCCATCGATTTTGTTGAGCTGCCGGACGCTCGAATGCATTGGGCGCCAGTGCCGCAGCGGAGATCGGACGGCATTGGCGCTTGGCAGCCGTTGTGGCTTTGCATGCGCTGCCAGAGCGAGCTCCAACTTGACCGCATTAACTTGCCCGAACCGCGCCCGGCTTGCCCCCTCTGCGATGTGCCGTTGCATTGGGAGGTCGACATGAGTCGCCGTCAAGAGCGATGGGTGTGCGGACGCTGCCCCTTTGCGCACCTTCCACGGCCGCTAGCGCTGGGGCCTGCGACACGCCCGCCCGTGGACGAAGGCACCCTGGCCGGCATTACCGACGCGCCCACGTCACGCGTAAGCAATGTGCTTGCCGCGAAAGCCGGAGCCGGAGCCGAAGCCCCATTTCGGAGGCCCCGGCCCCGGGCCACCGCGGCCGCATGGACATCGAGAAGGGCAAGGGCAAAGGCAAGCGCAGGGAGAAGGGCAAAGGCAAGGGCGGCGGGCCTCCACCACGCCGAAGCAGCCGCGACACATCGACGACTGCAGTGGTGCGCGAGGTTGCAGCAGCAGCCGCTGAAGCCGCGGCCAGGGCAGTCCAAGATCGTTTGTGAGGCAACGCAGGCGGCCTTTGCACTGCGACACGTCGCGGCCGTAGAGTTTTTTAACTAAAGCGACTCTCCGGAGAGCCGCTGATCAGAGCCCTAGCGTGCGAGGCAGATGCAAAAAGAAGCTCCCAGTTGTGTGCTTGCATGGGTCATTAGAGGGCAACTACACTGACAGACGAGGTGGCACGATGGCTCGCGTGGCACTCGCGACGCGGACTCGTCGTTCGGCCTCGCGTGTGCCGCGCCGCGCCGCCGAGCTGCTCGGAGGCAAGAGAGGCTTTGTGCTCCTGCCACACCCCACCCTGGCACGCCGCATCGGTGAAGCCGCCCACCCGGGCCCACCAAGCCACCAGCACGACCACAGGCCGAACCCAGCACGAGCTGACCGAGCCCGCGCACTGGAACCGCATGACGAAGCAGCGCGGCGACGCAGCAGAGCCCTGCACGCGCTCGCGCAGATGCGGCTCCTCCCCGAACGCGTCGCTCACGATTCCGGAGCGGAGACGGTGTCCGACACCCTGAGCGCACATACCGCCGTCGCGTCGCCCAGGCAGTCCTACAGCCCAGCCGGCGCCGCCCAGCCTGAGCACGTCTTCGTTGGAGCAGCCGCCCCGACGCAGCCTGACGAGGCCACGCCAGGCTTCACGCCGCCACACTCCCCCGCACGGCAAGCCGCCCCTAGCGGATGGACCGCGATGCCGCCACCACACACAGAGCCCGGGCCGCGTAACTCTTGATGGCTGTTCGTGCCATTGCTCCACGCAGGGGCCGGTCTCCGGAGCCACGCAGCCCAACGAACGTGGAGCACCGCGCGAGTGGGTGGCGCCCTGTTTGACGAACTCGCCGCGGCTCTCCGGGAATCTGAGCCGCAACAGCCAGCGCTATTACTGCGCTCGATGCGGACACTTCTCGCATGTGAAGCACGTGACGATGCCCTCCGCGCACACAACCCACGCGACCTCGCGATGGCCGCCGAACTCGAGGCCCTTCCCGCGGCGCCGTTGCCGCTGCCGGCCGCAGTCTCGCTCTGCATGGGTCGAGACGGCTATATCCCGGCGTTGGCACAATCTGCACTGCTTCAAACATACGGGGGAGTAGGCGTGGCCACGGCAGCACAGTCCCTTGCCGACGATGCCCGAACCTTATTGCATCGACCGGAGCCCCCCGAAGCGCCAGCTCGAAGCCGTCACAGCTCCCCGCACGATGCAGACGCGAGAGCGAATGATGCCGCCGAATCGAGGGCACACTGCAGCGCGTCCCCCGCCCCTTCGAACGACCAGATTCTGGCCGCCGTCGCGGCGGATCAGGCGCGCGCGCATGACCGGCGGCGCCGCAGGGGTAGGGGTCGCGGCCACCGCGGCGGAGGTTGTCGAGGCCGCGGAGCCCCGGCGCACGACCCGCTACAAGCCGAGGACGCTGACGACGTGGCCCCCCCACCAGCACCATCGCCACCGCCTCGCGCGGGCCGCGCACTCCCCTTGCACACACACCTTGAAGCCTTGCAGGCCCTGGACCTCGAAGCCGAACTCCGCAACCGCGTGTGCACTCTCCAGTCGGCCCCACGCCAGCTCCGAGGGCTCCTACGCAATGCCTTCCGTGTTGGCCTGGAGCACAT